TTGATTACCTGAATCCCTTCTTCCCCTTCTCTCCAGCTGAAATCAGTCCTGCCCATCACAGACCCCATTACAATCTATGAGCAATCTTGTAATGAGTCATTTATTTATTCAGCTAATGAGTATTGTACCCCCACTCTATCTGGACTCTGTGCTGGGTACAGGGGCTCAATCACGTCTATCCCCTGGAGTTCACATTCTCATGGGGAGAAAACAACAAACAAGTCTAATAAGTCAGATGGTGATAAGTCACTAGAGGAAAATAAAGCAAGGAAAGAGGAGGGTGGGTTGACATACTAACTAGAGTGGCCAGGAAGGGCTATGATGAGAAAGTGACGTTTGAGCAAAGTTCTGATGTAAGTGATGGATTGAGGGGACACTAGGACAACAGCCAGTGTGCAAGTCCTGAGATGGAGTGTGACTGGCACATTCATTTTTTTTTTTTTTGGGGGTTGGAGTCTCACTCTGTCATCCAGATTGTAGTGCAGTGGCTGCTCCCGGCCACTGCAGGCTCGACCTGCTGGGCTCCGGCCATCCTTCCACTCAGCCTTCCAAGTAGCTGGAACTACAGGCGCGAGCTACCACGCCCGGCTAATTTTTTGATTTATTGTAGAGATGAGGTCTCGCCTGCCCAGGCGGGTCTCAAACCCGCGGGCTCAGGCAATCCACTCACCTCAACCTCCCAAAGGTGTGGGATTCAGGCTGAGCCACCAAGCCCAGCTACTGGCACATTCTTATTCAAGGAAGAGTGAGAATATCAATGTGGCTCGGGCAGAGAGAGCTGGGGAAGAGTGGTGGGAGCAGAAGCAGAGAGGTGTGGGCCAGATTGTCTGAGCAGAGGAAGTATGAAGTCACATACTTCATATTAAGTGGCAGCTCAACATCAAGCTCCAACATGAATTAATAGCTCATGCAATCTCCCCTCCCCCGTCATAGCAGGTATATTGTTATGATTATTTTACAATTAAGAACACAGAAGCTGGGAGAGGTGGTGTGATACCTGCTAGATCTCCCAGCTCAGAGGTGGCAGGGTCTGGATTCATCGCCGGATCTACCCAAACCTGGGACAAGTCCTGAGCTGTCCTGCTCAGAGTTTCAAACTCAGGCCACTAGCAGGTGCAGGGCTGACTGGTGGCACTGAATGGGGCTTTCCAGGGCAGACTGGCTGGGCTAGGTTGGTGGGTGTGATCCCTGCCTTTCCCACTTCTTTTTCTGCCCCACCCTGGATGGCCTTGGCCTGCAGATAGCAGGTTGGGGTGTGAGGACAGGGTGAGAAGCTCTGGTATGAGAGCCCACCTGTGGGCTTGAATCAGGACAGAGACTTTCCTGCTACAGAGGGGATTGCAAAAGCAGCTGCCAAGCTGGGCTCAGTGGCTCATACCTGTAATCCTAGCACTTTGAGAGGCTGAGGCGAGAGGATTGCCTGAATCCAGGGGTTCAAGACCAGCCTGGGCAACTTGGCAAGACCTCGTCTCTACAATAAATAAAAAAAAATTAGCCTGGTGTGGTGGTGCACGCCTGTGGTTCCAGCTACTTGGAAGGCTGAGGAGGAAGGATCATCTGAACCCAGCAGGTGGAGGCTGCAGTGGCCTTGAGCATGCCACTGCACTCCAGCCTGGGTGACAGAGTGAGACTCCTACTCAAAAAAAGAAAAGAAAAAGCAGCTGCATTCTAGCCCCCTTCAATAGGAAGGTCTAACATTGAGCCCAACATTGAGGCTCCTCAAACACAGCTCTGCTACAGCACAGAGGCCCCAGTCAGAACTGGAGTGCAATCTAATGGAGGTGGCCTGGGATGGGAGGTCTGCCCAGTCAGAAAGTAGAGGCACTGATCTTGGCTTAAGCACATTGTGCTAGCAGCATATCCTGGGTTGCCTATGTATTGTTGGCAGAAATAAACAAGCGGGGGTGGGGCATCCCAGCTCCCCCTCCCTGGTGAGTAAGGATACAAGACAGAGGAATCTAGAAAGATTAGGGAGAGTGAGTACAATCTCCAGTGACTCTCAGTCTGTGCAAACCTGACATTTGAAAAGCTGGGCGTGGTGGCGCATGCCTGTAGTTCCAGCTACTTGGCGCATGCCTGTAGTTCCAGCTACTTGGAAGGCTGAGGCAGAAGGAGCTCCTGAGCCCAACGGGTCAAAGCTGTGGTGGCCATGAGCGTGCCACTGCACTCCAGTCTGGGTAACAGAGTGAGACTCCAACTAAACAAACAAACAAAAAACATTTTATAGAAACGTTTCTCTAAATTCATTGCTCTAATTTACAAGCTCCTACAGACCAGTGTGTTCCATAGCTAAAACTGACAAAAACAAAATAAAACCCAAAACCAAAACTACCACCCAACAACAATAAAGAACCCTTAAATTTAATGGATAGATTTTTCTGTATTTACCTTTTTTTCTTTCTTCTTTCCTTCCCTAAATGTTTGCTTGGCAGGCAAGAGAACAACTGAATAAAATGCAAATGTTGGTGGGAAATTGTCCTTTAAACAGTGTTCAACTATTTCAGGGCGTGTCTTTGTTTCAAGGAGGATTTTATAGTGTGTTAGTTAAATCAGACTGAACTTTTCTTTTTGTTTAACATTAGAAAATATAGTTTATTTAGAAAGGAAATTGGAGGGGGGATTCACCTCCCCAAGGGAGGGGAGGGGGCTAGACTGAACATTTCTAATGTAAAGGAATAAATTCTATGCCAAATCACAGTGAAAATGGGAATAACTGTACCCTTGTTTCTTGTGTCTGGCCTCAGACTTTAAAGTCCAGATGAAAGACAAGCTCCTCCACATGCCAGCTCCCCCATGAGCAGTTTCTGATTTTACTAAACCGGACTCAGGTTTACAAATCCAGGAACACAGTCTCAGGTCTCAGTATGCCATAAGAAACCTCAGGACCTGGCTAGATGGTAATCAGTGTTGGAGTCTGGCCCAGTTGGCCCGCCCAGGAGAGGAGGTGAAAGGTTCCTGGGTGTTGCAAAACATCCAGTTCAGGTTAGTTGTAGGTTGGGAAGATGCCAGTAGTCAGTCCGGGAGAGGAAACATCTACTGACAGTCTGGGCCTTTCCAGTACAGAAAGTGAGTAGGGACGGCCTCTGGTGGTCAGGTCCTCCTTCTTCTTTTAAACATTTAATTTCCTCTTGTGTGTGTGTGTGTGTGTGTGTGTGTGTGTGTGTGTGTGTGTGTGTAGCACTTACCTGTACCAGCCAGATAAATATTTAAATTTCTAACAGCGTCTCAGGACTACGATCTAGTCCGGTACAGTAAACACAGAAACTGGCACATGGAGAAGGTGGCAGATGGAGGAACTTGTCTTTCTTTCTTTTTTTGTGAGTTGGAGTTGTCCAGACTGTAGTGCAGTGGCACGCTCCCGGTCACCACAGCCTCAACCTGCTGGGCTCTGGCGATCCTTCCGCCTCAGTCTTTCAGGTAGCTAGAACTACAGGCGCGCACTACCACGCCCGGCTAATTTTTAATTTATTGTAGAGACGAGGTCTCACCAAGTTGCCCTGGTAGGTCTCGAACCCGCGGACTCAGGCAATCCACTCGCCCCGGCCTCCCAGAGTGCTGGGATTACAGGCTGAGCCATCGAGCCCGGCCAGAACTTGTCTTTCATTTGGACTTCTCAGGGCTGAAAGGTCCCGAGAGAGCCGGGCTGTCGCATTCTTTCATTTTACAAATGGGGAAACTGGCCCACAGAACAGAGACGATTTTCCTGAGATCACACGATCAAGGCGAGCTGAGAATCGAACCCAGATCTTTCCACTCCTTGGTTATGATTCTCAGCGATTCCTATTTTTAATTCGACACTTGTTTGAAGAGCGTTCGGAGGGGTGAACCATTTAAAGAGTTCCCGAGGGGTGATACACACCACACACACACACACACACACACACACACACACACACAGCAACCCACGTGTCCACACACA